AAAGGGCTTGCTCTCCACTGGATGTGGAATGAAGAGGAAGATGATGGGAGAGCCGTCACCCAGGCTTCCCTCCCATCTCTGTCATATTTGAGGAAAACCCTGATCCCTGGCATTTAGTCCTCAGGCTAATGCAGGATCCAAAAGGAAACTGCCCTGGTGAGGGCTTCAGAGCTCACTCTGTCTTCAGATGTGAGACACGAGTAGCTGTCTTCAAAACCCATCATTGTGCTTGGACCCTACCTGTGAAGACCAGGCACCGGCTGCCAGGAGGACAGCCTGTGACGGGGGATCCTAAGAGTAACACACTCAACCCAGGGTGGATAGATCTGTTTTGCTTCCTACGGATAACACCAGATTACTGCCTTACAGAACTGAAAAATGTCGTTGCACTGACAAATATTATATTATTTGATTACTGACAATAAGAAATTCAGAAACACTTGCAGGAAATTTTCAATTTCTGTTTTCTCCTGAAAAACCAGAATCTGAGAAGCCTCCACTAGAACCAAGTTGTTGGCACGACCTTTAGTTGACTCCAGTCTCTAGCTCCAATCCCACTCCTCCTGCTCCCTCTTACACAGCCTGCTTCCCTCGCTCCCCTGATTTTCTTGGTCCCTGTAATCAACGGTCCTTGAGTTGCACTAGCTCCGATTGGATGGGGCCTTCTGGGAATGCCTCCAGAAATTCGCCTGCATACTTTTTATGCTTTTTTTCCCAATGAACAAATCATTAGTTTATAAGAAAAGAAAAGGGAAAGTGTCTTACTTGACATCTAATAGTAAATACTATTTGAAATTAGCTTATTAATAATTGAATGACTTTCCTAAAGAATAGCTTATATGACATTTCATCAAAATTGTGAGGCAGTAACATAGTTTACAATGCAAAAAAAATCTGCTTCTATCTTGTGATGAGAGGAAAAGTCCAGTGTTTATGACTTAGCCACAGTTGGGTCAACAATTACAAATGATCACTATCATTATTAAAATTAAATTATCAAAATTAAGTCTTGACAGGAATCAAATTATCAACATCTTTAAAAACGTGTTGACTGATTGTTTGACATTTTCTCATATTTTTTTCTTTTAAATGATGCTGATGACAATTATGATGATGTATGATTTCTGGAATATCATGTTGTCTTATACCAACATCTTCAGAGAGACTGTCTGCTAGGTCAGGTCCGACACACCTGTAATTGAAGACCCACCCATCAACCCTAAATAAAAACTGCCATTTTTCATGTCCATCGAACAGGATCCTCTGCTGTTCTTCCTTTCCTTAGTTTGCTTGGGAATGAAACAAATCACATGTGTGTTGAGATGAAGGTTGTGAACTGATGGAGATGACTGGTCCATTGGTCCAGTCTTCAGGGTGGGCCACCATTGCTGCCAACAACGGATCTGCTACCCAAACCCTCCTAGATTGTCGAAAGAGTGGGGGACAAAAATACAATTGTCTTCTTGTCTCTGATCCTGCAGTGGGTTCTGTGAGCCAGACAAAAAATGTGGAGCTGTGTTTATGGTGTCCTTGCTTCACCATAATCCTGTACATTTGGGCTGTGAGCATTCCTCTTCACTGGTCCAGTAGCATTCTCTCTTTCTGTCTCTCTCCCCCCATACATACATATATACACATATATGTATATATACATGCATAATTATCTTGTATTTTCTTTGAGTGAGGAGAAAGTTGATTTTGAACATTCTGTCTAAACTATCTTTTTTTTCAGATTCTATTTCATGTGTGTGTTGGAGTGGGTCATCCACAAAGATCCACAATCCATTGTCTGCCATTCTTCCAGATCATTGCTTTCTAGAAATCGTAACGCTTTTCACTTGGAAAGGCAATGCAGTGCGTATACCATGAGTGCTGCACTCCAGAAAGGCCTGTTCCGTACTTTAATCACACAAATTAACATTTCTTCCATAAACTCCATAGGGCCTAGCACAAGAAGGAGACTACAAAAGACCACAAATAGCCCTGGAGCTGTCAGTCTTGATGACTGTCACAAATTTACCAAAGTTTTCTGTATTTCAGCATTTGGGGAAGTTTAGAGTTGCAGAGATGGTTACACACAGAGACATAGATTAAATGGCTAAGGCGTGGCAAAATGTCTTGGGCCTAAAAGCCACAATGGAAGAGCTGAGACAGTGGATGCCGTAAAGTGGTTCGCAGTGGATGCCGTAAAGTGGTTTGCAATGTCCATGAAAGATACTCAAACCCACAAGGGCAGCTGTCCTGAGGACTGACTTCACCATGGAAGGGCTAAGAGTCAAGGCGAAGCTCACGAAGCTTCACTGGTTGCTGCTGATGGAGAAGATACAGTCAGAGTGTGGCAAACGTAGAACAGGCTTGGGAGAGATAGTAATCAATGTAACCAACCAATGGGAGACAGCTGTATCGACATAAGACAGAACAGCAAAGCGTGCAGAAACTAGGCCCACCCACCCCTCCAAAATGAGAACCAAGGTCAGGCCCCCACGTGATCTGTGCACATTAAAAGGCTGACAAGCACCAGAATCAGTTTCAGAGTTTTAAGGGCTTTCTGGGTTTTATTTGAATTTTTTTGCTTTTTAAGCTAACCACGTAGCTCACACTAGTCTCCTACCTGTGGTGATCCTCCTGCCTCATCCTCCCAGGTGCCGTTAAAAAGGGTTACCTCAAAGCTAATAAGGGCTGAAAAGGAGCATTGCTTTTAGGAGATTGCACGATGTTTTAAATTTGAAGGGGTTTTTTGGACACGGACAGCAGAGACTTCCTAGCAAGCAGCCCTCCCTGCTCTGAGCACCCTCACTTCACTTCTGTATAAGTAACAAGCTTTTACAACCTCTTTCCCACAAAGGCAGCTCCATGAGTCTGTATGTGCAGAAAGACTTCCTTGACATTAAAAAGGTCTTCCAGTTTTCCAAGGCATAAAACAGATAAGACAGAAGACATTTAAAAGGTAACTGTAACCATTTAAAAGACAAATAAAAATTGCAGTGAAAGAGGAAATAAGGAAACGATAAAAAGGACTCCATAGCAAACGTTAATGTTGTACATGGGTAGTGTTCACTTGAAAAATTCTCACCAGGCTTTTCTTTAAAGACTCCAATGGGCTTGAGTTATAGATCAGTGGGAGAGGGTTTGCTTAGCATGTATGAGGTCCTGCAAAAAAAAAAAATGGAGGGAAGGAAGAAAGGAAGGGAGGGAGGGAGGGAGGGAGGGAGGGAGGAAGGAAGGAAGGAAGGAAGGAAGGAAGGAAGGAAGGAAGGAAGGAAGGAAGGAAAGAAAGAAAGAAAGGAAGAGAGAGAGAGAGAGAGAGAGAGAGAGAGAGAGAAAGAAAGAAAGAAAGGGAAAAAGACTAAAAATACTCAGTCTTAGCTTCCCAAACTTCCCAGCCTTAAACTGAAGCCCCGCCCTTGAAGTTCACTTGAGCTCTTTCCATCTTTCCACCATGGTCACCTCAGCCCCTTAGCCCTGTTTACAGATGACACGGACAATTTCCGCTGTTGACGTTACTCAATCCCTAAGTGTAAGGACTTTACTCAGTCCCTAAGTGTAAGGACTGTAATCCTTTTTTTTAAATTACCACTTCCTCCCCTCCTCCCATTTCCCTCTCACTTCCTCCCTCCTCCCTCCCTCTCCAGTCCTAAGAGAAGTCAGAGTACCCTGCCCTGTGGGAAGTCCAAGGCCCTGCTCCCTCATCCAGGTCTAGGAAGGTGAGCATTCAAACAGACTAGGCTCCCAAAAAGCCAGTATATGCAGTAGAATCCAAACCCAGTGCCGTTATCATTGGCTTCTCAGTCAGCCCCCATTGTCAGCCACATTCAGCGGGTTCGGTTTGATCACATGCTTGTTCAGTCCCAGTCTAGCTGTCACATTGTCTCAGTGGGTGGATGCACCCCTCGTGGTTCTGACTTCCTTGCTCATGTTCTCCCTCCTTCTACTCTTCATCTGGATCTTGGGAGCTAAGTCCAGTGCTCCAATGTGAGTCTCTGTCTCTATCTCCATCCATCGACAGACGAAAATTCTATGGTGATATGCAAGATATTCTTCAGTGTGGCTATAGGAGAAGGCCAGTTCAGGCACCCACTCCTCTGCTGCCCAAGGACCTAGCTGAGGACATCCCCTTGGACACCTGGGAACCTCTCTAGAGCCAAGTCTTTTGTCAATCCTAAAATGGCTCCCTTAATTAAGATATCTTCTTCCCTGCTCCTGTATCCACCTTTCCTCCATCTCAACTATCCCACTCACCCAATCTCTCCCCAATCCTCCTGGTCTCCCTTCTCTCTCCCCGTTTCCCCTTCCCCCCACCCCACCCCCTTGCTCCCAACTTTTGCCCGATGATCTTGTTTACTTCCAAGATCCAGGAGGATAAATATATGTTTTTCTTTGGGTTCACCTTCTTATTTAGCTTCTCTAGGATCATGAACTATAGGCTCAATGTCCTTTGTTTATGGCTAGAATCCACTAATGAGTGAGTACATACCATAGTCATCTCTTTGGGTCTGCGTTATCTCACTCAGTTCATAGCAGCACTATTTGTAATAGCCAGAACCCGGAAACAACCTAGGTGCCCCTCCATAGAAGAATGGATAAAGAAGGTGTGGAACATATATACTTTAGAGTTCTACTCAGTGGTAAAAAACAATGGCTTCTTGAATTTTTCATGCAAATGGATGGAAATAGAAAACACTTGACGGAGTGAAGACTCTAATACTTATAGACTGCTTCTGTAAACTTTCCCGAATGTGTGTGTCTTCATAGTTGTGTTTGTCTTAGTCCAAATCCTCAGGCTTATTATACCATACGTGACCAGGACTTGACTTTCAGCTGGGAACGAATGGCATGTCCTATTAAACTGTTTTTCACCTTCACTTCAGAAGACCAGTGAATACCTTCATAAGTCCTTGTATTCTCTTTGCCCCTCACATGTCTCCATGAAAGAGTTTCTGTATGCGTGAGATGAGAAACGTAAACGACCTCAAACTTTGTTTTCTCTTGATGTCTCTCAGCTGCAGATGGAGCTGGAGCAAGAATACCAAGACAAGTTCAAAAGACTGCCCCTGGAGATTCTGGAGTTCGTACAGGAGGCCATGAAAGGGAAAATCAGTGAAGACAGCAATCACGGTTCCGCCCCTCCCTCCCTGGCCTCAGACCCTGGAAAGGTGAACCACAGGTCTCCCTCCAGTGAGGAAGTGGAAGTGGAGAACCCAGGGAAAGAGTTTGATACTCCTTTGTGATGTTCCTGCCGGGCCTTCCAGATATGCACGACTGCTTGAACTCCATCAGACTCTAATGACAAAGATCACTGCCTAGGGCCATCTTCCTGAGAAGCATCCCTTAGCCTGAGATCCACACCGAAGCAAGAGTTCCAGAAGGATCTGTGTGGAGGTCCCATACCCCCGTTCCATGTGTCATGTGGAAACTATTGCAGTCTAGAGAGAAGGGTGCATGTATGCAGGATTTTTCTTTTCTTTTCGATAGTAAATTAAAAACAGGCAGCTCTCAGGCTCCATGAAACATGTAATGAAGGACAATGTCTTCTTTGAAGAAAACTTGAGGTCATGTCTTCATTTCAAGTCCCAGTGTAAAGTATTTCAAAGTAATAGAAATAGTTTGAGAAATGCATAGCACCATTTGACACTATGGAACATCCAATTTTGACCATTGTTTCCCTAACGGCCCCGCAATTCTGTTTTCCATGTTTTCAAGTTAACATGTATATTAAATTGCTTCCTCTTTTGCTTTGCAAGCACTGGTGGCTTGCAGTTTGCTAATTTATTTATCACAGAAGCATCTGTATTTGCTATTGACATGGCTTTATTAGATACCATAGTGACTCTTATATAGTTTCTTTTATAAAAAAAATCACTTGACTATATCATTGTCTAGTGAAGCCATTTCACTATTATCAATATGGATTGTATATTTGGCTGTACACCTTTGGGTATCTATTGGTTGTTGTCCCAAAATGATGAAAAAGCTACAGCGGGTTTGTTCCATTGAAGAAGAGTTGAACTGACATGTATTAATCAGAATTTCAGCTAGACTGAACAGGTTCCAGTGGGTTGTTTTGTTGTCAGATATTTTTTGTGGTTCATTTATTTTTACTGTAGAAAGGAAGATAGCATATTTATCTAAATGCACATGTATAATGATACACATTATCTCCATGTATATATTACATGCACCCTGCCATATAAGTGCACACACACACACACACACACACACACACACACACGCATGAGTGTACATGTGTGTTTATTAATTGGCAGTGACCCAAATCTCTTCCATAAGATTTAAAAGCAAGTTCAGGGATACATGGACAGAAGAAATGGGTCAAATATATATGTTACATGGATATTAAATTATACGGAAATGCTAAGAGTAAGTTTATGGAGTCATTAATGCAACTTGAGGTAGACTTACAATTTAGAATATAAATTTGCTAAAAAATTTTGTAGAATCAAAATTGGATTTTAAGTATCAGATTTTGAGGTTGTTTTCATGGTCAGAATATGCAAAATACTTAGGATATAAGAGTACAAGTGTATTACTCCTACCTTCAATAAATTTAAACTGATTAATTTCCATTTTATTCTAATAGTAATAAAGCTTTGGTTATATTTTAGTTTGTATACTTACTGCACTTAGTCATGTCTTTTTGAGTTTTTATTTTATTTTAAGGGGAATAAGAGGAACAAATTGTATCATGTTAAAGCTAATAAAAACATTATTAAGAGGTCTTAAGAAATAATAATTATGTAGAAAATATGGTTTAGAGAGTGAGACAAAGGACATTAAAACCCAATAATGATATGTTCATGGCTTCATTTTATTTTAAAGAGAATTTCTCTGGTTATAATTTAGCAAAGCATTTTACAGTGCAAAAAAAAAACAGTTGTGTCCTGAAATTTGTGTTTCAAGAATTTAATATTTTTATGGAAATTGTTTTATTTAACTTTAAGCAATAACTAGGATCATAATTAAGTTTTAATCAAAATGAAGGCTTGCTTCGAACACCGTGACAGTGTTTGATAAAAAAAAAAAGCATCTAGTGAGACACAAGGGGAAAATCACATCTCCTTTAGAGATGATTATATTTTATCTGAAGAATGAAGAGTGTTAATTAGACACTTGCTAAAACTCACCTTCCACCGAAGAGAGAGCTTTTGTAAACCATACTTCTTTTGCACTTTGAAGGAAAGGCATTATTCAGAAAGAAGTGGGAATGGTCCAGATGGAATGCTGCATTTTACAAACACAATTATAGACTGTCGAAATTGGAGAAGAATGAATCAGTAACAGCGTTCATAACCAAACAGTGGTGGTTATTGCAGAACATCGGATTTCATCATTGTCCATATAGTGACTAAGGTTGGGTAACCTTGACTTTCAAACCCTGTTTTGGTAGTTGGACTTCATTACCTTGGTGATTCTGGTCATTTTCCAATGTTTTGTATTTGGTCATTTACTGTAATCACATTTTTATATCTGTACAGTGACACTTTTTGCAGTTGTGGGCTAGTGTGTAACACTGTGCATCTTGCATCGCTGAAACTACTACCGTGATACTATCCATTAATAATATTAATATTACTTGAACATAGACAAAGGTAAAGAAAAGGGGTCTCTATGATGTGCAGTTTTGTGCCTTTATGTATTTGCCTCGTTCTTTGTCTAATGTGTGAAATTCTGTACTGTGGCTTTTCCTATAATAGAGAGTAGAGTCATGCATTAAATGACAGTGTCTGTCCCTGACACCTTTAAAACTACTGAGAATAACGTGGTTGGGTCGTATAAATCAGTGTTCAAAGTTCTAATGACATGCCATTGGTGTTTAACATTTCAGTGCCACCGTACATTAATTAGTACTCCTGTAATAGATAAGCAGTCATTAATTAAGTTCTGAAAGAAAGGGTCATTGCTTGCTCTCCTTTGACTTTAATGCTGCCCTTGTACACTGTGTTAATACTGTTGTGATGGACTGAACGTTGTGACCCTTGCCTTTTAAAAGAAAACGAGAGGGGGCAAAGTATTCGATGCTCTTAAAATGTACATAGTTGGGTTCTTCTATCTCAAATTATTTAAAATGCGTAATTCACTTTTTGTAATCATTCTATGCAATTTTGTGGCATGGTGTTCCTTCCACTTGTAATTTTATGTGCTTTCATCCCAACTCCAAAGGAAACAATAAAAATTTCTTAACACAGTCCAGCCGGACCTTCTTAGAGTCAGAGCCCACTTTACAGGGAGGACAGTGAGAACAGACATAACGCCAGTCCTTACAGCATAATGCCCACCCTGCAGGGCACACCAGTGCCCAGGAAGCCTAGATCTGTGGTGCTGTGCAGAGAGGACACAACTGTCACTGTGGTTGTCCCACCACCACCTTCCAAGAGTGGCACTGTCCATATTGCTCCCCCCATGATGGAGTTCCTTCAGCCTTCCTCTGACGATCCCTTTCTTTCTTCCTTTCTTCTTAACCTAAGAAAGGCAAAGCAAATGTTTCTGACCAATAGCAGAAATGAGGAGAACAGATATTGCCCTTGCATGTTTTTGATGAAACATGTAGTTTGTAGCCATGCTGCGAAGAGGAATGTACATGTGACTTCTCTGTCCAAGTCACAATGGTTCCCCAAATGTAGCGTACCAGTTATCTATGGATGTGTTGTAAGTGACACCAAATGATCTCCTGTCTGTCACAGATTTAGGGGGTTGAGTCAGGAAATCAAATAGGGCAGAGTAGAGAATGGCCTGCCTCTGTCTCTCTGCAGTGGCTGGGGAGGAATGGATGCTTTGGGACTTTACTCTAGACACCCATGTATGAATTCATCAACTGGAAGGCTCTGGAGCTCTGGGCTAGAACACCATAGTGCCCTTACTGTAGCCTGGGATTTCTCACAATGAGGTAGCTGGAATCCCAAAGGTAAGACTTCTAAGACATCAGTGGAAGTTATAGTGAATATTATCATGATCAAACATGAAAGTCACATGTGTTTGTGCATACAGTGTTCATTGGTACTGACACAAGCTCTTTCTCAGATTCACAGTGAGGAACGAAGGCAGACATATCTCACTGTGAGGCAGAGTTTTGGTTATTGAAGAACATAAGAGCTATTTTTAAAAAAACTGTAAATATACAGCTGTCTTTAGCCAACACAGTCTGCATATGCAGTGTGCACCCAGCAGAATTCCTATGACCCTTTGTTTTCTTCATCAGCGAAAAAAAAAAATTACTCCAGTTGCCCAACGTAGAACATTGACATTGGTGGTTTGTTTTGCTCTTGTTGTTGTTGTGTTGTTGTTGTTGTTTTGTTTTGTGGGGAGGATCTCAAGTATTCCAGGATGGCCTCAAGCTCACTATGTAAGGGAAGATAGCCTTGACTGTCTCATCAGCCTGCCTCCTCCTCCCAAATGCTAGGATTATAGGGGCGTGTCGCCCTATCATGTGCATGTAGTGCAAGGGATCAAGCCCAGGGCTTTACGTGTGCTAAGCAAGCACTATCAACTGAGCTCCATTTCCACAGCACAACATTACGTTTGATAGTATCTTCTCCCTTATCCCTTTCTTCAATAAATTGCCAACTCAGGTCAGTCAGTTTTGACCCCATGATAACTTGCGTTTGTTTGCTTTCTATCATTGTGTCCGTACTTGAGTGGAGCCACCATCACCTTCCACCTGCCCAAATTCTCATAGTTCCTAGTCAGTCACGTAACCCTCTACCAGGGCTATAGCTAGACTAGCAATATCAAAGTCCAAAGGAGATGGAAATCCTTTAAATGCTCCTAGCTGTCCCCAGCATAAAGACTAGTCCTCCCAGTAAGTGTTTGAGATCTTACACAAGGTGGTTTCACCAGCTATCCCTAGTTAGTGCAATGCCCTGTGTCGCTTTCTCTAATATTGTTCACTATCTCACTCCATGGGCTCCCAATGTTCTTCCCTTGATCCTAAACTACTCCTTTCTTTTTCCCTGAAATGCCTCTTTCAAGCAAGTGCCATGCCTTACAAGTCAATCCCTCCACTCACTACAAAGTGCTCAGCGGATGGGTATTTTATCTGTGGTGAGTAAGTTCATTAGTTTGTCTACCTTTATCTAAAAGACGGAAGAAAAGCAAGCAACTCTAATGCAACTCTAAATAAGAAATGCCATCCCCTCAAACCTCAATGGTTAGGCACTTCCTGATTAGCAATGTATGAAAATACAACCAATAACAGAGACTGAGATTTGTGTCACAGTTGTGTCCCTGCTTTAGTTTCTTGTCAGTGAGCAAAACCAGTGCCAATGCCTTGGTGTCTTTGAGTCAAGGGATCGATCCCCAAACACAGAATATGAAAGGAGGTCAGTCTCAGATTGTTAAATTGTGAGACACTGGGGGAGGATGTTCGTTTTGGATTTCAAGGGTGACGACCAGCCTCTTTGTCTCAAGAAAAAAAAATCTCAGGAGCCCCCTCCCCCACTTTTTCCATTCTTTCCTTCTGTTATTGAAAATAATAGAGTTTTCTCACTTCATATATCCTGATTATGGTTTCTCCTCCCTGTCCCCCTCCTAGTTCCTCCCCCATCTTGCTTTCCACCCATATCCACTGCCTTTCTGTCTTTTAGTACCAAAGAACAGACTTCTAAGAGATGATAATAATAAAATGTAACAAAATAAAGCATAATAAAATAAAAGAAAAACCTATCACATCAAAGTTGGGCAAGACCAACCAAAGGAACAGAAGGAAAAGAGCCCAAGATAAGGCACAAGAATCAGGGACTCGCTTGTTCACACACTCAAAACCCCATAAAAAACCACTAAGATGGAAGCCATAGTAGATATGATGAGAACCCAGTGCAGAGCTATGCAGGTTCTGTGAATGCCCCTTCAGTCTCTGTGGGTTCATATCAGCTTTGCTCAATCTGATTTAGAGGGCTTTGTTTTCTTGGCGTCCTCCATTCTCTCTGTCTCCTATACTCAGCACTCTTCTGCGGGGCTCTCTGAGCTGTAAGAGGAGAGATTTGATGGATATATTCCATTTAGGGCTGAGTGTTCCAATCTCTCTCTCTCTCTCTCTCTCTCTCTCTCTCTCTCTCTCTCTCTCTGTGTGTGTGTGTGTGTGTGTGTGTGTGTGTGTGTGTGTGTGTGTGTCTATGTCCCTCTGTGTGTATCTCTATTTCGCTCTCTCTCCCTGCACAAGGCCTGGCTGTGGGTCTCTGTATTTGTTCCATCTGCTGCAGGAGGAAGTATCTCTGGTGAAGAGTCATTTTATTACTGATTTCTTTTCTTTAAAAACCAGTGGTATTCCACTTTTCTCTAGGCCCCTGGGATATCTAGTCTCTGATTTTTGGTCACCCAAACAGCACTGGATATGGGTTCTATCTCATGGAGTGGACTTGAAGTCAAATCAGATATTGGTTGGTTATTCTCACAAGCTTTGTGCCACAATTACCTTAGCAAATCTGGCAAGCAGGACACCACTGTAGCTCAGTGTCTGTGACTGTCTTGGTGTTTACAGTTCACTTTTGGTAGCATGAGTGTAGCTTCCTGTACCAAACGCACTAGAACTTAGGGGTGAAGGCTCGATGCTGTCACTAGCTGCGCATCTTCATTTTCAAGTTGTGTACATGCTGTCTTCAACAATGAAGTCTTGCTGTCAGTTTGCAGAGAGCAATCTGTTGTCTTTGCAACAGCCTGGATTGTTTACAGATTCCCACGGTACCCCTTTGGCAAACAACTCAATTAGATGTAACCCAACCCTGATAGTAGAAGCTTCATTTGATGACAAGAGATGGCCAGTTGGGACTTTGTCTTCCCTATTATTTGATAATTTTATTTCGGTTGTCTTCATATATGCATATACTTTAGGAAGTTTCTAAACTATTAGGTTTTCATATGACCCCTCAAATGCCCCTTAATTTTAGTTATGGCTCCCTGTGTTCCTTCCCTCAACCACCCTCCCCCACACTTCTCCCCACTCCTTTTTCCTCTTCCAGTCTTATCCACTCCATCCACCCATAATTATCTATTCTATTTCCCTTTCCCAGTGAGGTCTGTCTGCACCCTGAAGTCCCTTGCTCTATACTTACCCTCTGTGCTTCTATGGATTGGAACTTAGTTTCATTAACCTAACAACTAATATCTACATATAACCAAATAGAAACCATATTTGTCTTTCTGGGCCTGAGATATCCCACTGAGGGTAATTTTTTCCAGTTCTATTCATTTGCCAGCAAATTTCATGTTGTCCTTTTTTTGAGCTCTGCTGACTAATATTGAATTGTGGAAATGTACCACTTTCTCAATCCATTCTTCTGTTGAGGAACATCCAAGTTGTTTCTAATTTCTGGCTGTCCTGAATATAGCAGTAATGAATATCTTTGAGCAAGTAAGTGTCTTTGTTGTAGGGTAAAACATCGTTTGGGTATATGCCCAAAAGTGGGATAGCTGAATCTTGTGGTAGATCAATTCCCATCTTCCTGAGGAATTGTCACACTGATTTTCATAGTGGCTGTAAAAGTTTACACTCCCACCAGCAATGGATGAGTGTTGCCCCTACTTTCCATCTTCACCAGCATGAACTGTTATAGGGAGCAGCTGCAGGCAGGCCTGCTTTTTGTCCCGCCCGGCTCCCACACGGCTAGTTTAGCCCTGAAAATAACACAAATTGTATTCATTTAAACACTGCCTGGACCATTATCTCTAGAGAGTTAGTTACTGGCTAACTCTCACATCTTGATTAACCCATTTCTAATAATCTGTGTAGCACCACGAGTTGGTGGCTTACCGGAAAAGATTCAGCATGTCTGACCTAGTGGCTGGCTCCATGGCGTCTGCCTCATTGCCCTCTTCCCAGCATTCTGTTCTGTTTACTCCACCTACCTAATTTTCTGTCCTATCAAAGGGTGAAGGCAGTCTCTTTATTAACCAATGAAAATAACACATAGACAGAAGGCTCACCTACATTAAACTGTAGCTTGTTTAATTAATCACACCAATTCTGATGGGTGTAAGATGAAATCTCAAAGAAGTTTTGATTTGCATTTCCCTGATGAATAACAGATGTTGAACATTTCTTTTAGTGTTTCTTGGTCATTTTCCTTTCCAATTTGTATCCCCTGATTTCCTTCAGTTCTCATATTGCTATGGCTAAGACATCAAGTACTATATTGAATAGCTATGTAGAGAGTGGACAGCCTTATCTTATTTCTGATTTTAGTGGAATTGCTT